AAAAAATAAATTTTTTTTTATCTCTATTGATAAAATATAGCCTTATCTAGTATACAGTCAAACCTGTGAACATAAGCCATCCAAAAGAGTGTCCAGCATGATCTTTATAAACAAGTGTTTTTATTTGGAGGTTCTTTGTTCTAAATAATCAATGACAAGTTAGTGTAGAGTGGTCTTTAGTAACAGGGTGGTTTTTATTCGAAGTGGTCACTAACACAGGTTTTACTGTATGTACTTTGTAACAAAGCAACTGATATAATATCTCTATTAAAGGCTAACAAGATAAAATATTATAACTTTACAAATATGAGGCCGGTTTACTGTATAAAGGTTTTGTCTCACAGTCAAGTTATTAATCAAAACAGACACACAAAAAATGCAAAAAGGGAGTGGAGTACAATGATGTAAAAGATGTTGTTTCTTTGAAGTCTTCCAATCCCTTCATTTCCTCTGCTTTAGGTCTGGTCTATCACCTCTATGTCTATTTCTAAATTCCTCTATTGTATTGTTTATATTGTCATAAATATCAAACTTGATACGCTCATTGTATGTTGATAGTCCGTACACAGAGCCATTGAAATACCATGCGCTTTCAATGTTATGGTGTTGCATCAGCCTATTAATAAGTCCCTGGTTTAATCTTGTAACATCGTCCACAAGTTTATGGCCCTTCTCCTTCATTGGTTTTCGTTTTCTCATGATTGTAGCCTTCACCCTGTTATTCTTAAGTTTTACTAGGACTGGCCTTATATTTCCTTTCTTGGATGGTAATCTATGCAAATCAACTATATCTTCGTTATTCAGTGTTATATTGGCATGTTTCTGCAAGACGGATTTTATAGTGTTTGCCAGTTTCTCATCATCTTCATTTTTGTCTTCAGGTATCTCCATTATTTTCACATTGTTCTTGCGGGAATATTGTTCGTTATAATTTGCTCTTCTGCTGGCCTCTGTACTTACATCATAATTTTTGTTCACATTCTCTTCTATTTCTCTTATTTTCTGATTTGTTTTATTTTCATAATCATTGAGCCTGTCTTTTAATTGATTGTTTTCAAATTCCAGAGAGTCTAATCTTTCATTCAATACCTTTGTTTTATCCTTTAAAGCACTATCAATATTTTCAATCAGTTTTTGTTCTAAAGATGCCATAATGTTTTTAATTAATTCCTCTGTTTCATCTTTTTTCAACACACTTTTGAGATCACCCCTTAAATCACTTATTGTGCTTGTCATAGCCTCTAGCTGTACTTGTATACTACCAAGGTCCTCCATTGTTGTGTTAGTTAATACACTTATATTTCCAGAACTCGTGTCACTTGCAGTACTGTTACTATAATCCGGTTGAAATCTCTTTGCTGGAGGCTTAGTACCTGGTTTTTCACCTGAGAATTTTAATTTTGACTGACCCTTAATCTGATCTTTTGATTGGTCCTTTTTATTCTGTGTTTTTTTAATAGTACCCCTATTTTTACTGTTATCACTCATATCTATAGATGAATATCAAGTTTGTAAATATAAATGACCTGTAATAATCCAGTTGTTAAATCCCACATATGTATTTAGGGTTCATCTCAAAATTACTGATATTCATCCAAAAATCAAACAGTCAAACAAAGAAAATCCATTTTTAACTTATAAATCCCTAAATATCTACTAAAATTGAATAACTATCAGTTTCATTTTTTTACTCCATATTCACTGTATCATAATGTTACTTTTGAACCTAAAAGTATCACTTTTACATATCTATTTTATGCATTTGAATGGATTTTTGTTAGAGCAGCAATCAGCCAAACATCACTGCTTAATAGCCTAAAGCAAAAGTTCTTTTAGATAAATTATTATATTTATATATCTTAATTTGTCTAAATAATTACGTAAACTACATGAAAAAAAGCAAGTATATGTGTGGAGTACCATATTTTATATGTCTGTACTACTTACTTAAAAGCAAGAGCTAACGATATTTTTCCTTTAAAATATTAATTATTTTAATTTAATATCTTTTAAATAAGCAAACAAACAGATTTCATAACAATACATTGCATGTATTTCCAAAGAATGCAAATATAAGAAGACAGCATTAACAAAATATGAAGACAAAGATCAACAAGGAAGGTTGACATTTGATAAACGCGTCCTCCAACACAGTCCACAACACTGGACCACCGGAAAGTGGCTCAACCGGACATAAAACAAAGACAGGAGAGGGCGCAAGGGCAAATGTTGGAATAGTTTACACTTAAATTAAAGAAAGGGGCACAAGAAGTGTCAACACAATTAGCATAATTATAACAATAAACAAGACATGCATCTGAGGAAAATACAGGGGTGGTCAGTAGCATAAGCACTTATTGGGAGGTTCAAAAGGTTAATGGTGCAGCAAACCACTCTCTTAGCCTCAACATGTCCCTATTAAACGAGTCAGTGTAAATAAAACAAGTTTGATTCTTTAAAAAGAAGCATGCGAGAGGTCTTTTTGCAGCTGTGGAAGATTTGTTTACTTGTTCAAATGACAAGAATATCACCTACAATTACCCGACGAGGCAAGGCAGAAATTAAGAATACCTGAAGTATAGTCCTAAGTCCTTTAAGCAATATATTCTTTTTTTCTTCATTTAGAAGCATGTGATTTCGTGCGATGTTTTTCGAAATTTGTGAATGAAAAGTTTCCGTGTTACAGTTTACATTAATCAAGTTGAATAAATGACAGAGCGTGTAGGAGTTAAGTTCAGCGGAAAGATAGGAATATTACTCGCATGTCATGACAAATAGCTTTAAACGTTTTAAGATCTTTATTGATTGTTGATATAGCTTGCAGCATTCCGAAGATTGAATATTGTTATTTTCGTAATTATGTATGCCGATGTGCCGATAAACCTGAAACTTGATAAATTGTCATCATCAATATTAATGTAGTACTACAACAGATTTGAAATATAACATTTACCTGAGAATTGTGATAGAAGCAACAAAAATGAAATAATTCAATAAAAAGTTCTGGAAAACGGAGGCTACTTTGAACTCGGTTTTAAAGAGAATGTTCATGAGAGAGACAATCAAAAGCGCATCAATTGTATAGACCCCTAGCATCACCGGCCTTTAATGATCTCAAAGGACTAAAAATATAACAACATTGCAATAAAGTGAGTTAGTAAATAATTCTGGAAAATATATGAGAATGTTTTGATAAATTCATTAAGATTATGAACCACATCTTCTAATTCATGGTTCCAAAGGAGATTTGTCTGCTAAATGGAACTCTAAGAGTCAGTGGTTAATTTGTACTTTAAGATTGACATTGTTCTCTACACTTTCTGTACGTAAGTTCTAAATACATTTTACATTAAATTATAAAGTTCGGAACTTTTTAAGCTTCTTTTCTCGATAACAATTGTATAAAACCTTTTAAATAGAGCATTCAAGATTGTTTCGTGAAGAGGAAACAATCACATCAAATTCAAATCAAATTTTATATATTTTGTGTTGAGTGTGAAGCTATTGGATATATGTTATCTGATATTTCTCTGAATTACGCGATCCATTATCGTGATATCATATTAAAAGTCAGAGACATTTCTAGACTTTCCACGCTTAAATGATACACATTATATGACAGAACAAGACTTTCTATACATGTATTGTGTTACAGACCTATTACATGCATCTGCCTCCCTCATATAAACCTCTGATACATTAGTCATTTGTTTCTTTACAGCAAAAAAAATGTAAAATGGCATTAATAAAAATGTGATATAATATGACAATAATATGATGGTACATATAAGTGGTACGAAACTCCCAAAGGAGAAGCTATATCGCTATTTTTGTTCGCAATTTATCTCAAGGACATAGAAAACTTTAATGTTTAAATGGATTTGAAGGAGTTGATTTAGGCGGGGGTGTCAGTGGCCGAATGGTTAAGGTCGTTGACTACAAACCATTTTGGATTCTTTCATGTTCGTCAAGATATGAAAGACGCTTTTGGAAAAAGCAAATTCTCTATGATTTTTATGTCTTATTAATTAAATTCAGAAACTGAAAACTGAAACTGTTATATTAACTCAAAGCAATTTTTAATAATATTACAATATAAGTAACCAAACTATTCAATATTACTCATAAAGTAAGTACTTAATGGATATCTATGTTCAGATATGAGCTTGACAAGAATACGATATGCATTATAATAACAATGTATATCACTATATACATACTTATATAATTATAGGCTTGTCAATACTGCAAGTGTACATGTTTTATAATTATTTGTTTAGTTATACAAGATACATCTGTCATATTACAAATTATTATATAATTACTATGTATTGTGCCATTAACTGTTAGTATTTGTAATAAATATGTGTTTGATTGATTACTAAACTATGTAGCTTAAAGATATATGTTTAATATGGTTTCTGATCTTGACCATTTGACTATATAATATAATGATATGCTATACGTTCTTTATACGTATGGGTATACAACCCAGATTTTTTTTGACATAAACTCTTGAAACTCTTATATAAATAATTAACATTTTAATGAGTATATTACATCTAAATGAAATTTATTATTCCCTTTGGAGTAGTCTAATGGCAAGTATCAAGAATACTGTCATTTTCATTTATTTGTTTACCTGTTATGTCAATTACATTTTTTCTATTTTTTTTTAGTTAAATAATTACATCACAACTTAAAATAATATACAAACATCAATAGTTTAAACTGTACACGGCAGTATAAAGTAGTACATGTATATTGAAAGGTAAAGTTAAAACAAGGTTTTTTAGTAAGCATTATTAAATGCAATGTGAGAATTCAGTAAAACAACAAAATAAAAGATATATGAAATGTATATAATTTAATTAAATGATCACAAACAAAATATTACTTTTTGCATTTTGTCAACATTTTTTAAACAAACGGAAACTTTGTTGACGATTCAGAAAACATACGAGTATTATAATGTCTTGTATACTATCGTAATTTTCCAGGTGTCATCTGAAACATATAGTCGGAAAATATAAAGCAAAGAATAACTTAAAGGCTTACAAAATCACAGATAAGGGTTTACATTTACCGGAAGGATCAGAGCTGGGAAATCACGTGCGTTATCCGATGACGTCAGTTACGTTTCCATGGCGATAACAAGCTCACCGAAGAACTCCGTAAGTTGCCTTTGATTCTAACTTGTTCGTTCAGAATGCTTCATACTGTATCTATGTGTAGTGGGTGAAATTCACATTGCATTTTGTATACTTGTGTTCTGTTTGACCTTTTCTAGTTGATAAGTACGTGATAGTAACAAAATTATGAAATGCTATAAATAGATAATCGTGAACAAACAATGGTTAACAACAATGCAATAATAAATATCTAAAACGTAGAAGTTGTTTACTACAAAATTATGTGATAAAACCGTAAAGAACAAACATCAAAACAAGAGGTAAAGAACTGTGCTCATATATGCATTTATTCCTACATCTAACGTTAATGAAATGACCAACATGTTTGACCTGGATTTACATCTATATAAACACGCATATAAGAAGGCAACGCTGCTCAATAAAAGATGTTTCATTCACAATTTTGACATGGTTAACATGAATGAACCAGATAGTTTTGTTATCGGATTTCCAGGCGTAATTTTATTCGTCTGACGGCAACAGGAAATTAGATAGTCAGTTACCCCTCCTTTCATTAATCATTGCGCAGACGCAAAACTTCTCGTAATGAACACAATGATTTATGACGTCTCTGGCACAGACAGAAATGTCAACATTTTATGGGCTCTTGTAAATGTCTTTACTACAAGTGATGTAAGCTCTATACATTTACACATCTAAGGTTAAATTTTAAACGTTTGTGAACTTAATTGTGCTGTTAAGAGAATCAAGGCAGGGAACTGAATTACACCATAAAGGAAACCTTACATTTGACCAATCCATCTGGAATGAAAATGTTTTTTCCTCGAATTGTTGTGTAATTACAGCGTTCTAAAAATATATATTTCAACACAAGAATAAGCTTATGTTTCACCCAAAGCTTGATCTTGTCTGTCAACCTCATAAAGGTAACCGGATCTCTTAGTTTTACCTAAGCTTTTTACAATACTCCATAATTCATAAGGTCATTATCATAATTCACGTTGTTAGCGGTTTTGCTCCTTTTTGGCATTAATATTAAGGTCTGTTTTGGACTAACATAAACTGGGTTTCGCAGAGTGGAATCAGGAGGGTTTCCTCTTTAGATATTATGTAAACACAAAAGGGACATGAGAAGGTGGTAATTCTATACTGCAGAAAGTTACAATGGTGCAGATCAGTTTTTACAAATATGCTTTTGTGTTCAGGAAATGTTAGAATTTGTCCACCAGACTAGAATGATGATTTTATACAGATTGTGAGTCTGAAAAAAAGTAACTTTGTATTAATTTTTCATCGCTACTCGACAATATTCTAGTCAGTTACCAAAACAAAAGAACTAAATTTTCCCATTTTAAAGACCCATTTAGGTCAGAAAAAAACTGAATCCTTAAAGAACGTCGAATTTAAGACTAAAACTGACACTAATGCCATGTCTTTTTTGTTTGTTATTGTTTTTGTAGTAATATCTTATCGGCAATGTACTTATGGATTTTACATTTGATGACAATTTGTAAATTTTATGTTTGCGAGTATTTTATAACATATGATTGTTATTTGCACTGAAGATTAATCCATTATTACAGACAGCCGTTCTAAAATAAACAGAGAAATAGTTATGATGTTAAGGAGATAACCCATTAACTAGAATAAACATTTCCAGAAAAATCCAGCTGAACATCTGGTTGTTCCATTTGCATAGTCCCACTCGGTAATTTATTAAATGAATATGTTATACATGGTTATATAATATTAATATTTATAATATTGAACACTTCTGTAATCAACCCTATATAAACGAGAATAATAATAGAAACTACCGGTATGAAATTATTTAACGACTAAATTGAGTAAGTTAATTTCTCGATAATAAAGGTTGTTTATGGACGGTATATATAGAGGTAAAATGCAAGCTACTGCATACACCAACCAGCACTTGCTACAGCAGAACGTTGAATATTTAATAATATGAATTTTGGTATTTAATAATTTGAATTTTGGTATTGTCATTGTGTATTTTGAATCTGGACTTATCAATAATTATTTTCACACGCGCTCACAATTAATATTTACATATCGACATACTTTGCCGGTCATATTCACCGATTTAAACTAAAGGACATAAGATGCAATTTATGTTTATATGTATACAACTTCTCTAACTATGAAACTATGTTTTCTTATAGGCAGCCTGCATATAATAACGTTCACAACCACAAAATATATCAAAGAGCATAAACTATAAAACATCAAATAATGAGTTTAGGGTAAAATACAAAAAGAGCTACGCATTTAATTTCAAAACCAGTATCATATTGCAATATGAAATAATCTTTTAAAATCATTTACAGAACTTGTCTCATATAATTCTTTCTATACATTGAAATATAATAAACAAAGTGATCACTTGTAGGCGTTAACTACCCACGATGGCTAGATATAATTCCAAATATGGAAAATATAATTAGATCATTAAAAGATTACCAGACATATAATTCACGAAATGCTAATTTGATGAATTATGTAAAGCATATATAGCACATTGGCCTTCCCGAGTGCAAGGACCTTTGATCAAAGAACAACAATCTTTGATCGGGAATAAGAACAATAACCTTTCATAGGGAACAAGAGCCTTTCGTTGGGACCAAGAACGTTTCATCAGGACCAAGAATCTTTCATCGGGGACAAATGCCTTAATGATCGAGAACAACAATCCCGACCTTTAATCGGGAACAACAGCTTGTTTCAGTCTTGCGTGCATTTTTTTTATTTGGTGAGGCTGAAATGTTCACGATAAACTTTGATTTTGAAAATTTTATAAGCATGAAAAAGAGTATTGACTGTAACCATTTGAAAATATATGAAAACAAATATGAAGTTTAACATTAAAACATTGCACAATTTGAAGATGGATAAGTTTTGGGAAAGGAATGCTAATTTTTGATAATGAATGTCATTTTATTGTCTAGAGGACTCGTCACACGGTCCATGTTTCATGGTAATATTTGAAAAATATTAAAAGATTTCCAATACACTTTGATTTTAAAATTACATTAGACTTAAATAATTTTGCGAGTAGTATATTAATGTTAATATACTTTGAGTCATAACGAATACCCTTTAGCGGATTAATTTTACACTTTTTAACCTTACTAAATTCTTTACCAATAAATATTCATAAATCAACACACGTGGTTATCCAGAAAATAGAATCTAATAATTTTATTCATGAAAATTTTGTTAAAAGATAATAATTATATAAATCATAATTTCTAAATTCAGACAAGTCTGAAAATATTCAAAGAAAAATTGTTTTTGCTATTTATTTCAACAGATACCACAACCCTTATATTATATCATTTTGTTTGTACTTCCTTAATACATAATATAGACAAAAATAACTCATACGTGATATGTCATTAATATAAGATTACAATCGAAAACCAACAAATGAACAATAATTGAAATTAATTTAACAAAAACACAGCTACGGTATATAAAATCGTCTTGATTTTCGTTGTCTATATTAAAAATCTAATTGTTTTTATGTCTCACATCAACTTGTTTACTATACTCTGTGGACTTTGTCTGCAATTAATACATGTAAATTGTGTAGCTATATCAACTTACCCATGGATAGATAAATCAAGTAAATAGAGGATATTAATTAAATGAGTGTAGGTTTAACAAGTTCATGTAGTCACACAAATATCACATGAACTTTTTACAGGAAACAAATGACGCGCTTATTAGGAGTCTAGTAGATATTTATCCATACAGCAATGGCGAAAATTTTAGACTTGATTTTGTGTATTTTTTTTAACAAAATCATACTGTTTTCAAATTTTCTAATAAAAATAGCTTTTCTGATGTACAACATGTCACAGAGCTTTAAGGGATTAGAATAAACGTTTAACTGAAGTGATAGTGCCATGTTTGAATATCATATTCTTTTTATCATTATCTAATTTTATCTACATAATAAATAACGTGCTAATGAGCCAGTCTATAGTCGATCGTTCTAAAACTTAACCGTTGAGAGAGGTAACGACTGAGGCAGTGTCACTTACTTCATTTGCTCCGCCTTAAATTGTCGCCAAATTTAATGTGATGCTCCGTATGGTAGCATTTATTCTTCGTTGACGGGGCGGAAGGGAACCAGGATAACTTTGATAAATATCACTTGTCGAATCATTAAATTACAAATTACAAAGCCTAAACCACGCCCACTATCAGAGAGGCGGTTCTCCCACAACCGTTAAGAAAGTACGCAAAACTGCGCACAGGTTACGCTACGGCCAGTAAGGGGAGAATCACTGCAGAACAGTTCGTCCTTAAAATCATTCGAACATTATGCAATTCGTACCAATATTTAAATGGACATATTCTCGGCACATATTGTCTTGAATTTATTTTAAGTATACCAATCATTTCAATTTTACTTGTTATCCAATTTATTTTGCTTAGACCAGACGTTTCAATCTTTGTCGCAACAGACAAACATTTCAGAATTTCAGACAGGACAATACTTTGTGAATTTATGAATAAGGTTCTACTTTTTCACAAAAATATGCAACTTAATTATTAAACAACGAGCACATACCAAGAACATGGAGAGAAAATTAATTTGTGCTTCGGATATTCAACTGTAATAGAGAACGATTTTCAATGCTGATTGACTGTTCACATCATTTGGTGGCGTCTTTGATGTGCAGCATCAAAATTTAACTTGTAATGTGATTATAGACGTAACGTCGAAATTCGAATGTAAATATCGACGTTATTGTTTTATTTTACGTACCTACGTTCGTTATAGTTTATCAAAAAATTATGAAAAGTAGATCTATACAAAATAATGAAAAATAAATTCAAAAGCTTAAAAATATAAAATATCAAAAATGTCTGTGATGACAGAGATCTCTGTATTGATAAGGGGAGATCACTGCGTAGGAGATTGCATATACATAGCATAAAAACGAATGACGAATAACATGACGTCAAATATGACGTCAAAAACCAAATGA